CACATTTGCTGATCTACATCTTCACACCCTCACATCTGCTGATCTACATCTTCACACCCTCACATCTGCTGATCTACATCTTCACACCCTTCACACCTGCAGATCTACATCTTCACACCCTCACATCTGCTGATCTACATCTTCACACCTTCATCTACATCTTCACACCTCACACTGCTGATCTACATCTTCACACCCTCACACTGCTGATCTACATCTTCACACCCTCACATCTGCTGATCTACATCTTCACACCCTCACATCTGCTGATCTACATCTTCACACCTTCTCATGCAGATCTACATCTTCACACCTTCACACCTGCTGATCTACATCTTCACACCTTCTGCAGATCATCTGCTGACCTACATCTTCACCCTCACATCTGCTGATCTACATCTTCACACCCGCTGCAGATCTACATCTTCACACCCTCACATCTGCAGATCTACATCTTCACACCCTCACATCTGCAGATCTACATCTTCACACCTGCAGATCTACATCTTCACACCCTCACACCTGCAGATCTACATCTTGACACCTTCACATCTGCAGATCTCCTCTCGCTCTTCTTTCTATCTCTCTTAAGGCGGGGGCGGTGCCGCCGGAGCGCCACGAAACGCAACCCTTTCGCACGAAATGGACGTTGGACGTCAAAAACTGGGGTAAAATTACGATTTTGAAGTATCCATCGCAACCCTTTCGCACGAACTGGATGTTCGACGTCAAAAACTGTGGTAAAATTGCGATTTTGAGGTGTCACGGGCAACCCTTACACGCGAAATGGAGGTTCGACGTCAAAAACTGGGGTAAAATTACGATTTTATTTGGCCCGTCGCAACTCTTTCGCACGAAATGGACGTTGGACGTCGAAAACTGATGTAAAATTGCGATTTTAGTTGTGGCCCATCGTAACCCTTTCGCACGAAATGGACGTTGGACGTCAAAAACTGTGAAGTAAAATTGCGATTCTGAGGTGTCCATCGCAACCCTTTCGCACGAAATGGACGTTGGACGTCAAAAACTGAGGTAAAATTGCGATTTTGAGGTGTCACGGGCAACCTTTACACAATGGAGGTTCGACGTCAAAAACTAAGGTAAAATTGCGATTTTACTTGGCCCATCGCAACCCTTTCGGACGAAATGGACGTTGGACGTCGAAAACTGATGTAAAAATTGCGATTTCACGGGTCCAAAAGCTTCTGTGTGTAAAAGTTTCTGTGTGTAAAAGCTTCTGTGTGTAAAAGCTTCTGTGTGTAAGAGGGTCTGTGTGTAAAAGGGTCTGTATGCAAAAGCGTCTGTGTGTAAAAGCGTCTGTGTGTAAAGGAGTCTGCGTGTGAAAGCCTCTGTGTGTAAAAGCTTCTGTGTGTATGAGCTTCTGTGTGTAAAAGCGTCTGTGTGTAAAAGGGTCTGTGTGTAAAAGGGTCTGTATGTAAAGCGTCTGTGTGTAAAAGCGTCTGTGTGTAAAGGAGTCTGTGTGTAAAAGCTTCTGTGTGTAAAGGAGTCTGTGTGTAAAGGAGTCTGTGTGTAAAAGCTTCTGTGTGTAAAAGCTTCTGTGTGTAAAAGCCTCTGTGTTTAAAAGCTTCTGTGTGTAAAAGTGTCTGTGTGTAGAAGTGTCTGTGTAAAAGCCTCTGTGTGTAAAGGAGTCTGTGTGTAAAAGCGCCTGTGTGTAAAGGAGTCTGTGTGTAAAAGCCTCTGTGTGTAAAAGCTTCTGTGTGCAAGAGCTTCTGTGTTTAGAAGCTTCTGTGTGTAAAAGTGTCTGTGTGTTAAAATGGTCTGCATGTGTGTAAAAGTGTCTGTGTGTAAAAAGCGTCTGTGTGTAAAGGACTCTGTGTGTAAAGGAGTCTGTGTGTAAAAGCGTCTGTGTGTAAAAGCGCCTGTGTGTAAAGAAGTCTGTGTGTAAAAGCTTCTGTGTGTAAAAGCTTCTGTGTTTAAAAGCTTCTGTGTGAAAAAGCTTCTGTGTGTAAAAGGGTCTATGTGTAAAAGCGTCTGTGTGTAAAGGAGTCTGTGTGTAAAAGGGTCTGTGTGTAAAAGCCTCTGTGTGTAAAGGAGTCTGTGTGTAAAAGCGTCTGTGTGTAAAAGCGTCTGTGTGCAAAAGCGTCTGTGTGTAAAAGCTTCTGTGTTTAAAAGTTTCTGTGTGTAAAAGCTTCTGTGTGTAAAATGGTCTGTGTGTAAAAGCGTCTGCGTGTAAAAGCGTCTGTGTGTAAAATGGTCTGTGTGTAAAAGTGTCTGTGTGTAAAGGAGTCTGTGTGTAAAAGCTTCTGTGTGTAAAGGCTTCTGTGTTTAAAAGCTTCTGTGTATTAAAGTGTCTGCGTGTAAAATGGTCTGTGTGTAAAAGTGTCTGTGTGTAAAAGCGTCTGTGTGTAAAGGAGTCTGTGTGTAAAATGGTCTGTGTGTAAACGCGTCTGTGTGTAAAGGAGTCTGTGTGTAAAAGCGTCTGCGTGTAAAAGCGTCTGTGTGCAAAAAGCGTCTGTGTGTAAAAGCTTCTGTGTGTAAAGGCTTCTGTGTTTAAAAGTGTCTGCGTGTAAAATGGTCTGTGTGTAAAAGCGTCTGTGTGTAAAGGAGTCTGTGTGTAAAAGCGTCTGTGTGTAAAGGAGTCTGTGTGTAAAAGCCTCTGTGTGTAAAGGCTTCTGTGTGTAAAAGTGTCTGTGTGTAAAATGGTCTGTGTGTAAAAGTGTCTGCGTGTAAAAGCGTCTGTGTGTAAAATGGTCTGTGTGTAAAAGTGTCTGTGTGTAAAAGATAAAGGAGTCTGTGTGTAAAAGGGTCTGTGTGTAAAAGTGTCCGTGTGTAAAAGTGTCTGTGTGTAAAAGCGTCTCTGTGTAAAAGTGTCTGTGTGTAAAAGCTGCTGTGTGTAAAAGCGTCTGTGTGTAAAAGCGTCTCTGTATAAAAGCGTCTCTTTATAAAAGCGTCGCGTTTCTTCACATCCACGGAATGATGGTAGCGAGCTTTTTCGGCAATGTGTGTAGGAATTGCCATAGTAAAATGAGATAACACATGTCATTCGCAGCATCATGGTACCGAGCCTCCTGTGCACTTTTGTTGCTCACATTATATTTCTTCATGTCTTCTTTCTATCTCCCTTTCCTTCTCTCTCTCTCTCTCTCTCTCTCTCCTCTCTCTCTCTCTCTCTCTCTCTCTCTCCCCCTCTTTCTCTCTATCTATGTCTCTCTGTGGTTGCAAGACACGTGTCATCTGATGCCCTTTACCAAGTATCCTCTTCTTAATCAATCTTACTTTTCACACTTTATCCCCCTATAGCTCATATAAAATTCACCAACCATTCACCGACTATCTTTTGCGACTACCATCCTCAGAGCTGCTTGAAAAACATCTTTGTCGCTCTCGGGCCAACCGTCATCTAGTCTTTTCTCTCGGTTTCAGACGGGACGTTGGGCAGTTTGTCGCTGCCATTCTGGGCTTGTCCGTCCTTCAGGAGCATGGTGTTTTGCTGTCGGGAGCTGCTTTTCTTGCTTTGGGAAGCAGCAAGGCTTTTTCTCTTCTTTTCTCTCGGTTCCAGAAGGGACGCTAGGCAGTTCGTCACTCCGATTCTGGGCTTGTCCGTCCTTCAGGAGCAGTGTGTTTTGCTGTCGGGGGCTGCTTTTGTGCTTTGGGAAGCAGCAAGGCTTTGGCAAGCAGCAAAGCAGCGGCAGCAGCGGCAGCAGCAGTAGGCGCAGGTATATACATTCCGTCTTCTTCCTTTCTCTCGGTTTCAGAAGGGACGTTAAACAGTTTTTAGCTTCAATTTTGGGCTTGTCCGTCCTTCAGGGGCATCGTGTTTTGCTGTCAGGATCTGCTTTTGCTGCAATGGCAAGCAGAAAGGCAGCATCAGCAGCAGCAGCTGCAGCAGCAGGTATACATTCCGTCTACATTCCGTCTTCTTCTGTTCACCAGCAGCAGCAGCAGCAGCAGCAGGTGCAGGTATATACATTCCGTCCTCTTCTTTTCTCTTGGTTCCAGAAGGGACGTTAACCAGTTTTTCGTTGCAGTTTTGGGCTTGTCCGTCCTTCAGGGGCATGGTGTTTTGCTGTCGGGAGCTGCTTTTGCTGCTTTGACAAGCAGCAAGCCAGCAGCAAGCCAGCAGCAGCAGCAGCAGGTATACATTTTGTCTTCTTCTTTTCTCTCGGCTTCAGAAGGGATGTTAGGTATACATTCCGTCTTCTTCTTTTCTCAGCAAGGCTTTGGCAAGCAGCAAGGCAGCAGCAGCAGCTGGTATACATTCCGTCCTCTTCTTTTCTATTGGTTCCAGAAGGAACGTTAAACAGTTTTTCGCTGCAATTTTGGGCTTGTCCATCCTTTAGCGGCGTGGTGTTTTGCTGTCGGGAGCTGCTTTTGCTAATATGGCAAGCAGCAAGGCAGCAACAGCAGCAGCAGGTATACATTTCGTCTACATTCCTTTCTCCAGCAGCAGCAGCAGCAGCAGCAGGTGCAGGTATAATATGGTATAATCAGGTATATACATTCCGTCTTCTTTTTTTTTATTCTCGGTTTCAGAAGGGACGTTAGGCAGTTTTTCGTTGCGATTCTGGGCGTGTCCGTCCTTCAGGGGCATTGTGTTTTGCTGTCGGGGGTTCCGTCTTCTTCTTTTCTCTCGGTTTCAAAAGGGACGTTGGGCAGTTTGTCGCTGCGATTCTGGGCTTTTTCCGTCCTTCAGGGGCATGGTGTTTTGCTGTCGGGAGCTGCTTTTGCTGGTTTGGCAAGCAGCAAGGCAGCACTCAACTGGGCCCGACTTGGCCCAACATAAGCCCAAGATGGGCCCAAGATGGCTCAACATGGGCCCGACTTGGCCCAACATGGGCACAACCTGCGCTCAACATAGGCCCAAACTGCTTCCATACAGGCAAGCACTGCGCATTATGCCTGCCTCAGTTCAACATAGCCCTCCCTGGGTTTGCGCGGAGAATCTCGGCCCAATCTTCCCACACCTAAGCCAAAAGTCGTTGCTTGGCCGGCGCCCGGCTGTCAGGCGTAAGCCTTTAAATATTTGAAAGCCTAGGTGCTTCCACGGCTGGGAAATTGGCTATGCAGTCCTCGAGGTGTGGTTGTTCCGGAACATGACTGGGTGCCCATCCTGGAGGATAGCCTGGTCGAGGTGAGCATGACGTCCGGGGCGTCAAGGACGTTGACTTGAGGACGTTCAGCACGGTAAAAGTTTTTGGACTTGGGGAGACGTTGTAGACGTTGGGGGCGCTACTGGCAAGTATAAGGACGTGGACGTGGAGGACGTTGAGGGCGTTGAGAAGGTTGAGAAGGTCAGAAGGTTGAGAAGGTTGAGAAAGAGAAGGTTATGAAGACGTTGAGGACGTGGACAAAAATTGGGAACGTTGGGGGCGATACAAAGGAAGTTTAGAAGTCAAACTTTCGACTTATGGACAGATGCAGCAAAGAGTTGTAGGAAGAGTCAAAGAAGAGGAGCAAGAAGCAAGAAGATCAAGGTGCACGGCAAGGTAGAAAAGTTGCGAAACCCTGGGTTTTTCCAATGCTCCGGTGGGTCGAAAAGTAGCATCGCTAAAGCGGCGGGTGGGGAGCCACCTGGCTGGATGAGAGATCAAAAATTGCACGCGATGTTAAAAGCAGGGCGATGTCTCGCTTATAACTCCAAATTGCGTGCGCTTGTAACTCCCAAATGTGAAGTGCTCTTGAAATTGAAAAAGTTCATGGTCATATTTACTGAAAAACGCAGACGCAAACTCTCTCATAGCGTAGCACACAGTCTGTGTGCAAGAGCCAGCAAACGTTATTCCACACACCCCTCCCCCACCCGAGCCCAGGGCCAGGATAAGATCTCCTTTCGGTCCATCAGTGAGTTCGCTCTGCCTTCCATGCATCACAACAACTCACCTGTCCTATAAGTTTCCTATCTTTAATACTTCCGCCACCGCACTTTGCGCTCTATGGTAAATGGAAGTGGCCTTGGAGGACGTTGAGGACGTTGAGGAGGTTGAGGTTGAGGACACTGAGGAGATTGAGGACGCTGGGGACGTCTATGACGTTGCGGAGGTCGGAGACGGGCATTGCGGACATTGGATAGGATGTCAGGGACGTCGACTAGGGACGGTATAGGGGCGGTAGGGGCGGTAGGGGCGGTAGGCGCGGTAGGGGCGGTAGGGACAGTAGGTAGGGAGAGTGAGGGACGGTAGGGACGGTAAGGTAGGGACGGTAGGGCGGTATACGGTAGGGACGCTATAGGGACGGTAGGGAAGGTATAGGGTATAGGGAGGGTAGGGAAGGGACGGAAGGGACGGTAGGGACGGCATAGGACGGTAGGGACGGTAGGGACGGTAAGGGCAAGGACGGTAGGGGGACGGTAGGGGGACGGTAGGGGGACGGTAGGGGGACGGTAGGGGGGCGGTAGGGAGACGGTAGGGGGACGGTAAACGGTAGGGAGACGGTAGGGAGACGGTATAGGGAGACGGTATAGGGAGACGGTATAGGGAGACGGTATAGGGAGACGGTATAGGGAGACGGTATAGGGAGACGGTAGGGACGGTATATAGGGACGGCAGGGATGGTACGGTAGGGACGGTACGGTAGGGACGGTACGGTATAGGGACGGTACGGTATAGGGACGGTAGGGAGGGTAGGGACGGTAGGGGCGGTAGGGACGGTAGGACGGTATAGGGACTGTAGGGACAGTAGGGACGCCGTCGTGCAAGATTTTCTATGGGGACGCGAGGGACGTGAGGGACGTGAGGGACGTTGGGTTACTGGCTGTGGGGTGCGCAGTGGGCTGTGGGATCCTGGCGGCCGCACACAGCACAAATCGAAAGACAAAGAAAATGGGAAACACTGATGGGATGACCAGAGCAAGACCGTATAGGAACTGCCTGTCCCCAGCCTTCCACGCGCATCAGGCTCGGTCTTGGCATCCTCGGCAACAAGATTCCAAATTGAACCAGGCGGGCTGTCATAGAGTCACGGAATCAGAAGTTTCGGACTTGGGGATTGTGCACTTCATCCTGAGTTTGCTGCATAGCCATGCAGCAACCTCGAATCCTCACCACCCTTTGCCAACAGGATGCTCTGGCTGTTGAAGACGACAATTCCGTCGTTACAGGTTCAGCGGGCGCCGGCTCCTCCATATCCACTGCAAAGTAGCGCACTGAAAGAACAAGCATGTCAGAGGACATGCATCTGACTACGAAAGGAAACCGGCGATGCCGGCGATGTGCAAAAATACATTACTGTTTGCGGAGCTTGTGCCATTTTGGGGGCCTCTATCTGCCTCCCATGTCCCATGAGTGAGCCGACAGCAGCAATGAAAAAGCAACCAAACTGCTGTGTCTGGTGGCCCACCAGGTTCATCATGGACACTTGGAACCCTTGAACATCTACAATCCATCGCGCTGGCGCTGACATGTTGATGCCAAATTGAATTAAAAGATGCAAAGCCACTGTTTCCTAAAGCGAAACAAATACAGCGCCCTCATCTACACCACCAACACGATCACCACCACCAGCAGCAGCAGCATGGCCACTGGCAGCAACAGCAACGGCAACAACTGCAGCAGCGGCAGGGGAGCTGTGGAGCAGCCGACCATGAGGAATCTCAGGTTTGGGCTCTCTTCACACTTTCAATTTTTTTCGGGGGAAGCGGTCTCCTGCATAATATTCGTGCTGGGCCCCTGCGCCTCGGCAGCAGGAATCTTACCACCTGCCGGATAGCAAATATTGAAAACAACACTGAACCGGTGCCGGCTTCCTTCACTTCCGACTGATCCCTTCTCACCCAGCCTGACAGTGCAGAAGCTCTCTTCACTGGACCTCAGACTCTTGAAGAGATATATGATATGGTGCATCATAAGGCAGCATGTTGCAGTCTTGTGCGCACCTGACGTTTGTGCGTATGCCGTGCTACAGTCAGTCGCTGAGGACAAGGTTTACGTCGCCATTGTATGCCTATGTCATATTTCCAGTCGTGTGAAACCAGCCCGAGCTGCCTTGAGACATGCCATGCTTCTCCACATCCTCCGCACATTGACGAAGATGCAGCAGGCACCGCACGAAGAGGTCAGGAACCAACTGCAGCATCCATCACTGCGGATGGTACAACTGCACTGCAGGATACTGCAGGCAACATCTGCTATTGACATGCAAACCAGTGGTTCGCATTGATGATGTCTTCCTTCAAGCAGTTGCAAATGACTGTGTGCCGTGCAAGGACGCTCCGTGATAGCTTGTTCAGCGCTAGCTCTGTATTTTATGGCCTGTAAAGCCGCCGCGCAGTTTACCCCTTCGACTACGCGCGACATCAACATGCAAAGCGTGCGAATCCATGCACCAGCATGCCAGGTCTCAACCTTGGTAGCTTCACGCCGCTCCTACCACGCCTATTCAAAAAGTGAGATGAAGTGAATGCAAGAACGGTCGTTGCAAAGTTTTCTCGCCGTGTGTCCTGTATACTTGAAGCCTCCGGGGGGATACGGTGCAAGTGTACTTGGTTTGCGCCAAAGAAATGATGAAACTATTGATCCAAAAAAAGTGATTATCCCAGCAAGAGACCCAAACAGTGTGGGGGGAGTGGGAGGATAATCTATAACGTTGTTGATGATGATGATGATGACGACGGCGGTGAGGATCATGATGAGGGTGAGGATAACCATGATCGGCCCAAAATCTAGGACCACACTTTGCGCGAGCCTGCGCAGTCGAAATCACTCAAAATTTCACAAGAGCCACTTGATACGGAAATTTACAGGAAAAATGCCACGCCCCAGAAGAAGACCAAACCCGCGGACCACACTTTGCGCGAGCCTGCACAATCGAAATGCACTTCAACATTTCGCAAGAGCCACTTTTTACGGAAATTTACAAGAAAAATGCCGCGCCCCAGAATGAGCCCAGAACGCAGAAGCACACCTTGCGCGAGCCTGCCCAGTCGACATGCACTTCAACAGGTCGCAAGAGCCACTTTAACCATACGGAAAAAAGCCGCGCGCCGCCCACACTTTGTGCGAGCCTGCGCAGTCGAAACGCATGTCAAGATTTCACAAGAGCCACTTTATACTTTATACAGAAATTTAGAGGACATGTAGCCAGCATTTCTACCCTAAGCATTAGAACATCCGAGTTCGAGTTGCAGAGGGCATGCACAATGTAGCCGCTAGTGAAAGCAAAAAGCGCTGAAATTAAACAGGACAACATGAAGTGCACAAATCATGCGCACATACAAGTCATAAATCCCACCCTGAGAAAGAAGCACGGAAACCCGAAGACCCTGAACCTAATTAGCAGCCCCACCCCAATCGAAGTTTCCCCAATTAACTCTTCTGGAAGGTATTCTGGGTATTTTCCCTGGTTGATGTCTTTGGTGTGTTTCTTGCTGTTAGGGGTGGTCACTTGTTGCAAATTGAAAAAACTAGATCCTGAACCTGCAGTTCCTTCATGACATCTTGTTCGATATGCCTCCAAAACAATCTCACCAAGGGGGTAGTCCAGAAACACGCCGACACCTGAATTAAAAACATGTTTGAACTCGCAAAAGAAAATCCCCCAATGTTTGAAGCCCTCCTAACTCATTCAATTTCAACTGCAATCACTCCAAGTCAACTTGTGTAACTCAACTTCCAAATCAAATTGAATTCAAGCTAAGGACTCCGTTCAAATTAATACATCAGCTTAGACTCCATCAAAGCCAAGTCAAATTCAACTCAAGTTCAGTTCGATATCGGCTCAATCACAAATCAGTCGCAGACAATATACTACATGTTAGGGCCCTCGGGGTGGACATTGTGTTTGGGGATACGTGCCCTCTGTTGGGGTGGTATGTCAACACAACGCATCTGCAACAACGTCTTTTTTATGTAGAAGTCTGGACAAGTTTTTACAAGCGAGAAACCCTGGATCCATAGGAGAGTTGTGACCTTGAAGAAGGACAACCCAGCTCATGACAACCCAGGCGCTATGATTATTGAAAGAGCAGCCTTGCACAGAACACTAGCACATGAAGCAGTGGGAAATATTCGAAATAAAGGATCCCAATGCAAGAGGTGGCCGAGAACAATGTTTGCTGTTCGACGAACTGCTTAAGGCCACTTGTGGATTGGGCGTTTCGCTGGCATCCATACACCAAAACCACAAAAACTGGAAAAGAAAATGAGGGAAATATATAGAACATGTAAGATGCTGCTAATTCTGCCATGTCAAAGATGACGTGATATCGAAGTAATGACGCTGATTGTTTTGGGCCGGACTCCCAACCAGCGTCCGGGCAAACCGAGATGATGATGATGATCATCATCATCATCATCATGATGATGGTGATGATGAAGATGACGACGACAATGATGACGACGACGCCAATGATGATGATTTTGACGAATCTGACGAAGAAAGAAACCTTAATAGCGGCTGTCTGTCTATCTGCGCGCGCTGCAAGGTTACGTGCATTGCTTTGTGCGAACACCTCCTGCACAGAGTACGCTGACCGCATTTTGCAGCATCTTGCATAGCTCTCGGCCCAATTCCTACCAGGGGTTGAGCTGCCCGGGCAAGTGCAACCTGGTGTCGTTCATGGACTGTCATCTCTCGCCGGCAATGGTGGGCACTTGTTGGTCGGGCCTCCTCCGTGGTGGCAATCAGTGGAGCGACGCAGGCCCCGGATCTGCATTGGCTTTGGCGCATGGCCAATTGGGCAAGTGGAGCCAGAGACCACGATCATGATCTACGATGCCAAGATCTCTTGGGATGGTGGCGCGGTGCTCTACATGGACGAGCTCACGAAAGGAGTCCTCATCCCATTGAAAGAAGCTTGTTCCGGAATTGGCTGCATGAGGATGGGGGCTACTTTTCTTGGACTTCGCTGCATCTCTTCCATGGGCATTAACCCCAAGGTCATTGGACATCTGCGACTGGGAAATTCAGATGGCAAACAACTTCAAAGACATATTGGCTGCGCGGACGTGCTGCATTCACCGCATCATGATCTTCGAGCAACGCTACCCCTTCACTTGCGGAACAATTGCTTTGCTGCATCTGCGGCCACTGTCTAGGCATCTGGACTCGATCGGCATGCCCATGAACTGAGCTGGCATTGCTTGCTTCTCATGCTCTTCCCGGACCGTTGGATACTGCGAGCAGGAGCGCTTGGCGATCTCTCTCAGGAAGAGAAGGAGATTGCCTGGGGGCTTCGAGAGCTGCTGCAGCAACGTGGAGTTCCTGGACATCTCACAGAAGAGGGCGCACTCATGTGTCTCAGCAAGATCGGTGCCTTTAAGCTCAAGAATGCCCTGGAAGCCAAAGACGCTTGGGGACAGCTCAAAGCATTGGGTTCCGCTCCGAGGGTGAACTTCCCCTGGATCAAGCCGGTTGAACTGGAAGAGCAGATCAAAAAGAGGACCCAAACCAAGTTCAAGATCAATCCTTCCAACAAGAAGTCCGCCAAAGGGAGAAGGGCAGGTAGCCAACCAGTCATTGTGGACCTATTGGATCCGCACTTGATCGAGGGAACCTTTGTGGCGGAAGATGAGCAACCGTTAACCCAGCTCAAAATATCGGAGGTTGGAGCGAACAGCTGTGGCATTGCCTTTGGGCAACTTAGTGATGTCCAGCCGTACTTGCAACTGACCACGGCACCTGTTCCAGTTGCTGCGCAGGGGCTGCTTCCGGTCATCAATCTTCGCTTTCCAGCCATCTTCAAACCCACAGGTGAAGCCATCCTGATTGAGGGATCTCTCATTCAATTGGGGGACCAAACAATCCACCGCGTGTCAAATGCGAAGAAGATCCAGACTGAGGAGTTGCCCGCAGTGGTCCTGAACATCAGTGTCTTCAGGGACGAGTGGCCGCATAGCTGGGAATCGTTCATTCCATCGCCGGTCAAGGCAATCCTCGGGAACTTTCCTGCCTTTGTGCTATGCAAAGGAGTGAGTTGTGGTGATGGATGCAACAGATTCCACCGGCCAGTTGACGCGGAGCTGGGATCGGTCATTGCTGATGTATGGAACAGACTATGGCTTTCATTGCGGGGCAGAAAGATGCCAGCAGCTGAAGCAGATCTGTTTCAGGTGTACTTTAGAACCCCGCAGGTCTGCCTCTCGACATTACATTGCCTTTCTGGAAGCGCAGGGCTTTATGTCGAACCCAGGTCAGTTGATGACCGCACCGCAGACCAGTCCAGGCGGTCATCTGGCTTCCTGGACCCACACTAGCAGAAGCACTGCACAGGCAGAAGACCATTGAGAGGACTTTTCCGGTCACCAGATTCGGCAGCAAATATGTGAGGGTGCTGGTCAAGGAGGAGCCGCAGATTCGTGCAAAGCTTGGGGCTAAAAAATCCCAACCGAGGGTTCAAGTGCAACAGATCTATGAGATGAGGCCGCTTTCTCATGTGACGACTCGCAAGGGTCTGGCACAAGTTCTTTCTGAGCTTGGATGGGCTGCCAAACCTGTACAACCTGGACGCTCAGATGCCAGTGGCATGAGCTGGAAAGCGGGTGCAGAGCACCAGCACCAATCATCCAGACCTCCATTGGTGAAATTACGATCTCGCTGCAGAAGCAGGTGATCGCCGACTCGCCCATCCAGATGGTTTTTGGGTCCACCAGAACTCAAGCTCACATCCGTCGACAATCACAAGATCGGGGAGCACGAAGTGATTACCGACGCATGGAGGAAAACAAGGAGAATGTGAAGCCGTATCCGGCTCAGGAGAATGGTGCAAATCGTGGATCCATGCGGACCCTTGGGGGAAGTATCAGAGACCAGGCCAACAAGATGGAGACACCCCCATGCAGGTGATGCCCAAGCTGGAATCGATTGAGGAGAAACTTCGTGGTGAGATCTCCACGGTGGTTGCGGAGGCCACGGAGGGAAGATTTGCCAAAATGGAGGTCGATCTGGCAGAGATGCGGAACCAGCAGTACAAGTTTGAGAGCTGGTGTCATGAAGCAGGTCAAGCCCAGCAACATGAGAAAGGAGATCAAGTCGGGATTTCAGAACATTGAAGCCGTCTTGGTCAAGCGAAGTAGGACAGAATGACAAACGGGCCTCGAGTTGGTGGGCTCGAGGTGCCGAGCCATGTCTTTTCATGCACCACGTTCACAAAGCTTTTTTGGGAGACAAGGGGAGACAAGACCCTCGGGAAGGCGGACACACCATCGAACACAGGCACACATGCGGGGAGACAGTGGGAGACAAGGGGAGACAAGACCCTCGGGAAGGCGGACGCACCATCCAACACAGGCACACATGTGGGGAGACAGTGGGAGACAACGGGAGACAAGGGGAGACAAGACCCTCGGGAAGGCGGACACACCATCCAACACAGGCACACATAATGGGAAACAGTGGGAGACAAGGGGAGACAAGACCCTCGGGAAGGCGGACACACCATCCAACACAGGCACACATGTGGGGAGACAAGGGGACACAAGACCGTCGGGAAGGCGGACACGCCATCCAACACAGGCACACATGTGGGGAGACAGTGGGAGACAAGGGGAGACAAGGGGAGACAAGGGGGGACAAGGGGAGACAAGGGGAGACAAGACCCTCTCGGGAAGGCAGACACACCATCCAACACAGGCACACATGTGGGGAGACAGTGGGAAGCAGTGAGAGACAGTGGGAGACAAGGGGGGACAAGACCCTCGGGAAGGCGGACACACCATCCAACACAGGCACACATAATGGGAGACAATGGGAGGCAAGGGGAGACAAGACCCTCGGGAAGGCGGACACACCATCCAACACAGGCACAGACAATGGCAGACAGTGGGAGACGTACAAGGGGACACAAGGGGAGACAAGACCCTCGGGAAGGCGGACACACCATCCAACACAGGCACACATGTGGGGAGACAGTGGGGGACAAGGGGAGACGAGACCCTCGGGAAGGCGGACACACCATCCAACACAGGCACACATATGGGGAGACAGTGGGAGACAAGGGGAGACAAGGGACCATCCAACACAGGCACGCATGTGGGGAGACAGTGGGAGACAGTGGGAGACAAGGGGAGACAAGGGGAGACAAGGGGAGACAAGGGGAGACGAGACAAGACCCTCGGGAAGGGCGGACACACCATCCAACACCAAGGCGGACACATTAGAAAGCATTAAGAACCCCTAAAACAAAAGGTATTTGTATGAATGGACCCCAGGCAAAACACCACACTGAAAGGGATGTCGTAGAAACGTGTCGTCACGAAGTTCGGTTTCGAATGTCCAGCTGACTAATGTCTCACAAGGTGCGAAGCTGCCCACCACAGCGGCATCCGTAATCCAGTGCAGCCGGTCCCTTCTGAAGTGGCAATGCAGAAATCTACGCAACGCGTTGTTGCTTGAAACGCCCGCAATGCAGCTTGAGGGGCAACTGCTACCCGAATAGACATGATTCATCTGTCCGCATACCCAATTGCCATGTGATTAGCATGACTGCAAACATTTCTGAGATGATTGACTCTCATATTGGGTGCGTGCACATATATAATATAGTTCCACCCTGGATATATCAGACATCAAGAAGTGTGACTGCGATCGATATGTTTGCAAGTAAGTTCCGACAGGTTCCACAAAACTACTCTGCTCTTGCGGAAACATTTGGAAAAATACACGGTCATGTTTGTGCTTGCTTGTTTTGCCAACTGCCATTTTATTGACAAGACTGCAAATCTTTTCTGAGATGATTCAATCTGATACTGGGTGTATACACATATATGTATAAATATAGTTCCACGGTGGATATATCAAATATCAAAAAGTGTCACTGAAATCGATGTGTTTGTGATCAAGTTCTTGACAGGTTCCACAATTTTTTATGCTCTTGCAGAAACATTTGGAAAGTACACGGTCGTGTTTGTGCTTTCTTTTGCCGCAGTGGGTTGGTCTAAGGTCAATATACATTTTGGTTCAACCCATTCACTTTTCAGACTCGGCCGCTGTCGCGTATTGTTGTTATGCTACGCTGCGTAAACTACGCCGCCCTTACTTAGACATAGCCATCACACGTGACCGCTTTCATCTCTTCGATGGATCGGTCGTCAGAATCTGGATTGGAAGCTACTTCGATCCGGCTAGCCCGGCCAGTAACTCCGACACCGAACTCGGAGTCAAGGAGACTAAGTCTCATGCGGTCGATGAAGGATGAAGGCAGCACACAGGGGAGGCCGAGTGAGAGTCGCACAGCAGATCCGCCTTTTTTTGCACCAGTCTCAAGTGGCACGCAAATGATGCTGCTCCTCATCTTGATTTGGTGCGGAATTAGCAAACAAAGATGCTGGAAAGCTGGCTTTTTGCCCTCAAGGTACAAAGGGTTAGAAGAAGGAGACGGTGGCGTGGCTTGCGGCTGAGGAGTTGCCGTCGGTCACAAAGCGGTCATCGAAAGGCATTCTTCTTCTTTTGCCTGATCTTGAGCCAAACTATGCTCACAGAAGCGTAAAAACAGAGTCCGCAAAGGGAGACACACAGATATGGTGAGGCACTTCACCCGGGACTTCTTAGGGACATCAAACCCAGGGGGAATCAGAGGCAGGGAGATGGTATATGGACAACTTCCATTTGGAATTTGGGGCATTGCTGAGACTCATCAAGCATTAACAGGTCTACGCGCTGTCAAAAATGCCTTCCAACGAGTAGGAGCGGAATATCACAGGAAGCTTTCAGTACTACCAGGTTCAATGGTCCCTCTCAGGAGCCGTTCTGAAACAGCAGGAACCTGGGCAGGCGTGATGACAGTAGCTGACTTGATTCTACAACCCGTACACATCAACTGGCCGCACAATGACTACTGTGGAAAGGAGGGCGCAGATCACTCAGTGCTGGATGGGGCCCTTCTCGGTCATCGGGGCGATGATCTATGGTTGGCCTTCTGGTCCAACTTACCCCAACAAGAGTGGTCAAAGAATTAGTCGTCTCCAGAACTGGGCCCAGATATCTTATGGGAGATTTCAATCACGCTGCCTCCTAGATGCCCATCGTCGACCTTCTCAAGTCTTATGGCTGGATGGAGATCCAGGACCTGGGGTTTCAAAGGGGCACATGGAAACCAATGCCAACTTGCAGAGGTGCAACGACAATTGACTTTGTCTTTGTTTCACCAGAGATGATTCCTTTCTACAAGAGAACATGCTCCTGGCCATGGTTCGCTGATCACGTCATCCTGGGGGTAGAATCCAACCAGAACCTCAGCAAAGCTGGCCACAACCAGCCCGCATTCCTTGGCACGAAGTACACTGGGATGCATGGCGAGCTCAGCGGCAGGAGGTACTCCCGGCATGAACATGGATGAAGCATACTCACTCATCTGGCACAAGTATGAGGAGAGCTTCAGCGGCCACATCAATACTCCAGACGGTTGTTGCTGCCATCAGGGTGCAAAGGAAGAGGCCAACGTTCTACGCCTACAGAGAGAGAACAATCATTGCCACTGCTCCGTCCCTCCAGACCAGGGGAAGTGTGCCAATCATCAGAGTTGCTTGGACGTATTCCGCAAAGATGGTTCATCCAGCTTCGTCGGTTACAAAGCCTTCTACATGGACTACGTGCAGGAAGTGAATCCGCCAATGCCCAACAATATCGTGCTGAACTCTGGGGAGCCATTCTCAGAGGAAAGGGATTTCGAGGTGGCTTTTCCAATTGGTGAAAGACCAGACCAATACATCTACAAGGGAGCCCACTGGAACTCCCTCTGAACGTACCAACTCTTGCTGTCGCGGTGAGCCTCTTCAGAGACTCCGAATCCAACTTCAGGAAACTGGAATCATGGCATCAGCGGCATCGACATGAGGTGGTGAATGCATAGTTCCAGGAACATCAGGACAAGCTCTTTGGGATGATGAAACCAGAAGGCAAGGCACCACTGCAGCATCTGGAAGATGTCAAAACCGCCACAATTTTGGCGATGTCAGAAGACCAGCAGATGATACACACGGCAGAGGAGCTCCAGATCCTACCGGGAGACACATGTGACATAGATGGAGTTTCGGTAGAAGTTCAGCATGTGGATGGGCCGGTGCTTCATCTATCGCATGAGGTTCTCTTCCAGTACCCTTCCACCTTCACTGCAAGAACACACTATGCAACACCGAATGCCATCATCGGGAAGTTGGAAGAATTCTGGAAAGGACGATGGTGGAGACAGTCACTTCCACCACCGTCTGATTGGGAGAGGATGCTCGCTTTTGCAGAGCAATACCTTCCGAGGAAGGTTATGCAATGCTCTCCGAACTCAATCGATCGCTGGACAGAAGTGAACAAGCGCTATGGACCTCGATCAGCGAGGCCCTGACAGCATGGACCGTCGTGACCTTCAATGGCTTCTTCCTGGACTACAAGAATCTTTGGTCAATTTGCTGAACCATTGCGAACGCCTGGAACAATGGCTTACTGCGCTGCTGTCTGGATTTGCATATCCGTTGCCGAAGGAACTTGTTGGAACATCAGCAGCAGACTTTCGGCCAGTTATTCTCTATACTCCATGGTCTACGCTCCGAGCCAAAGAGAGTCTTCGACATCTCGAAGGACTGGTGGACCGGTGGACCATCATCCGGTTGGGTTTCTACCTGGTCGAGAAGCTGTTCGAATCTGGTTCACCATCCAGGCCTACCTGGAAATCAGCATCATCGCAGGAAAAGTGTGGTTGGGTCACAGACATCCAGAAAGCGTTTGAGAATATCCCAAGGGACCCTATTCGATGGCTCTCCAAGAAATTGGGCATTCCACCGCGGATAATGAACTTATGGCACAGCTTTCTTGACAATACAGTCAGGCACTTTCTACTCAATGGAGTAGTCGGTGAACCTTTGCTCAGCAACAGTGGATATCCAGAAGGATGTGCCATGTCATGCTTTGCTATGGGCTTGGCAGACTTGGTCTTCCATCTATGCCTCACGGCCTACTCACAGAGGGTCACACCAATCTCCTATGTGGACAATTTCGAGCTGGTTGCCAACACGATGAGGCATCTTCAGCAAGGAATTCTGCGCGCTGACGAATGGAGTGAAATGTGGAAGATGAATCTAGACAGCTCCAAGAGCTTTGTTTGGGGAACCAGCTCCAAGCTGCGGAAAGAATGCCAAGCCTTAGGATGGAAGCTCAATGAGAGCGCAGTGGACTTGGGAGCCAACATGGCCTATGGGAAGAAGAACTCTATATTGCAAGGGCTCTTGAACGTCTGAGCAGCGTGAAGCCGCTATGGGACCTTCTTCGACGCCTTCCTGCTGCAGAGTGGAAGAAACATCAAATCATGCAACAACGCATATGGGCCAAAGCGTTCTACGGCTACTCCAATAACTCCTTGGGAAAGTCGCACAGCCTGAAACGGAACAGAGCGGGGGCTAATCCTTTGCTTGCCCTCAGCCTTCAGGACTCCATGGCCAGTGACCCCGGCTCTTACCAGTTTTGGACAGCGCTTTCCACCTTCAGGCGCATGATCCACAAGCAGTCTCACCTGGTGGACATGTGGAGCTTTTTCATGAATCGCTTCTCAGGAGATCGAAGCATTGGGCCTTTTGGCAAACTGCTTGAGGTTGCTGAACAAGTTGGTTGGTGCATTGAAATACCTGGATTTTACAACCATGATGGATGTTGGATTTCGCTCCTTGACGCCACAGAGGGAATCCTTCGTGGAGTGGCTGAGAAGGCGTGGGGTCAATATGTCGCGAAAGAGATCAGCAAACGCAAAGACTTTGAGGACCTCCAGGGCATTGATCCTGCCGTCTTCAGACAGGCTCAGAGGAGATTGGATCGGAAGACAAGAAGCTTCCTACAACCCATTCGGGATGGATCATTCCTGGATGCAAAGGCACAGAGCAAGTTCGACATGGCAAAGGAGCGCAAATGCAGCAGATGCGGAGTGGACGACACTCACGAGCACAGGTGCTTTCATTGCGTGAAGTTTGCCTCCGTGCATGCAAGGGATCGAGAACCTTTGATACCACCTTGAGGATGCAGTCATCTCTACATGCTCATCTTCTTCCTTCACGGAACGCAGAATGGAAATGCTTCAAGCACTTCCTGAACACACCGGAGATTGTCGAGCGCAGAGCTCTTCGGAGCGAGTGGCCACGAATTGACCTCTTCGCAGACGGAAGCTGCTGGAACCCAGACCTGATTGATGATGCGCTGGGTGCATGGGCGGTGGTCTGCCCACAGGCTGACCGGTGGGTGATACGTGGAACATTGAGCGCCCTACGCCAACACAATGACAAGACGGAAGTGCAGGCCATCAAGAATGCCCTCAACATTTCGTTTGACTACCCGGGGGAGATTGTCATTTGGAGCGACAGTTCGTGCGCTACGTCTGGACTATTCCGGCTTCTCCAAGATGGGGAGGACATCCAAATGATACAGGTGAGGGCCTTTGGACAGAAATCCAAGGACTTGTCCAGAATCGAGCGGGTGCGCTGCGGGTTCAACACATTGCAGCTCATCGAGATGGTTGGAAAGAAGACGACCCTGTAGACGCATGGACTGCGGAGTGGAATGATCGTGCTGACAGAGAAGCAGGTGCGGCACAATTTCTTCGAGGAAGAAACTTCCTGGAGAGCAGACAGAAGGACGAGCATCATAAGATGCGCATGGTCTTGCAGCAGTTGCAGAAGCTCCATATGGAGATTTCGAATTTTCGACTTCATGCAAAAAGACCTGATGACGAGGAAGTGGGGGACCAAGATGCTGCCTTGAGGGTTTGGTGGCATGGTCGGCTACTACATGCGGATGCCAGCTGGCAAGGTCGCTTTGATCCAAACTGGCTTGCGCATCTTCCAGGGTCAGATCTGGCAGGCACTTTCGGGATGAAGTTCTCCAGGGCTATGCCTCTGTGGCTGCAGGAGCAGAACATGGAGGAGAATGGGAGAACTACTAGGTGGACATGGCTTGAGATCGCCGTCTGCTGGCTTTGGAACTTTGCCGACAAGCTCCTCATGCCGACTACCAATGGCTGCTGGGAAGATTCTCCGAGAGGGAGTAGGCATTGCCCAACTGTGGCAGCGACCGTACATTTGGTGCGACGCTTTTTCCACCAATTGGATGCCTTCTTGGGCTGTGAAGTGAATTTTTGCAATGGACAATCGTTGCTTCCCCTTGCCGTGCGTCCACCATAGGGGGGTGTTCACCTGAGACTGGCACCTTTGGTTTTAGCGGAGGCTCACGACATCCTCCGCACTTTTCTGGCTCACTGCCCAATGCGGGTGGTGAATGACCTTTCACGGCCGCTACGGTGGGGCAGTAAGGTGGCTTCGGCTGCCACTGCTCTGCCGTGGCACTGAACCAGACAAGCTGTCCGCGCGTGTGGCATCTTGCATGTTAATGCAATTGCACAGCTGCACGTTATTTACAAAAATTTTAAGGCATGACATGTCCACACACATGACCGCCCATTCCAGGCCAAGCCTCAGAAGGCAAGAGTGCTAAACCTCAACATCAAACTGGCTGACAGCCAAAAGGGATCCAAAGGATAGACTTGGGCAACAAACCAGCTGTACGGGAACAGTCTGCCCGAGCCGTCCGCAGCCATCCCCAGCCAACCAAAAAGTATCAAATCTGGGACTACCATGGAATACAGAAGGTCTTGGCCACGCTTGTCCAGAAACGAGGTGTGAAAAAAGTGAAAAGAAAAGCGAACGCTGATGCTAGCTGATGCTAGCTATGTAGGGCATACTTTATCAGATCTATCAGATGATCTATCATACGCAGTCATAGCTGCGCAGTATCACACGCGCACGCACATACACACACGCTATTGGGCCGAGCGTCAATTTCCATCCTTCATTTTCAATGCACATATCCGCGATGGTGGCTTGCAGCTCAAGCATCCATGGAGGAGAGCCAACGCTTTTTCGCCAGATGCCACCTGCGGCCGGCAGAAAGAAGAATTCTCAGCAATCGAGATCTCAAGAAAGCCCCGCAACGTCATAAACGACTTCCTTTGCTCTGGAAAGCCACATCCCCAACCAGGTTCATATCGGACGAGAAGCTTGCTACCATGCTGGAGTGCTTGCAACTTCATGAGTTAGGATCGCAAATAGTTTTGGGCAAAGAAGTAGAGAACATAGATTGGGGATGACTATATAAGGGATGATAGCGCGCGAAGCTCCAGACGGCTGTACCACCCATACCCGTGACAACAGCGAAGTCTACACGTGCTCCTGCACTGAAGCCTGCCTGGTCTATGTCGGTCAGTGAATACGTTCGAGTTTCGTCAGAAACCTGAAGTCAAAGTGCTCAATCAAAACCAAGTGGCAGCGCAACACTTTGAGATTGCCCTGCATAATCACGCCTCTGCTTTTTCATTCTCGTCAATTTATTGACAAATTCTTCCAGCCGTAAAAGCTTCTAAAGAGAACTGACAAGACTT